AAAGATTAGAACAAATATTAGATCAATGAAACCAGGAGCTGTTCTTTGAAAAAATTAATAAAATTGATAAATCCCTAGCCAGACTTACCAAAAGAAAAGAAAAAGGACCCAAATAAATAAAATCACAAAGGAGAGAGGAGAACACCACCACAGAAATACAAACAATTGTAAGAAAATATTATGAAAAACTATATGCCAACAAATAGGACAAACTGGAAGAAATGAATAAATTCTTAGAAACATATAAACTACCAAAACTTAAATGGGAAGAAATAGAAAACTTGAACAGCTTGATAACCAGCAAAGAAATTGAATCAGTAATTGAAAAATCTCCCAACAAACAAAAGTCTAGGGTCAGATGGCTTCACAGGTGAATTCTACCAAACATTTAAAGAAGAGGTAATACCTGTTCTTCTCAAACTATTCTAAAAAATAGAAATGAAAGGAAAACTTCCAAATTCATTCTACGAATCCAGCATTACCCTGATACCAAAACTAGGTAGAGACTCCATTAAAAAAGAAAATGCAAGCCAATATCCCTGATGAACATTTTGAACATTGTTCTCAGTAAAATACTAGCAAACCAAATCCAACACTACATTAAGAGAATCATTCACCGTGATCAAGTGGGACTTATTCCTGGGGTGCAAGTGTAATTCAGTATTCACAAATCAATCAACATGATATACCACATTAATAAAAGAAAGGATAAGAACCATATGATTCTTTCAATAAACGCAGAAAAAGCATCTGACAAAGTACAACATCCATTCATGGTAAAAACTCTCAACAAAGTAGGGTTAGAGGGAACATACCTCAACATAATGAAGGCCATATATGAAAAACCCACAGCTAATATCATCCTCAGTGAGGAAAATCTGAGAGCTTTTCCCCTAAGGTCAAGAACAAGACAGGGATGTCCACTCTCACCGTTATTTAACACAGTACTGGAAGTCCTAGCCACAGCAATCAGACAGCACAAAGAAATAAAAGGCTTCCAAATTGGTAAGGAAGAAATCAAACTTTCACTATTTGCAGATGACACAATACTCTATAAAGAAAACCCAAAAAACTCCACTAAAAAAACTGCTAGAACTGATACATGAATTCGGTAAAGTCACAGAATACAAAATCAACATACAGAAATCTTGCATTGCTATACACTAAAAATGAAGCAGCAGAAAGAGAAATCAAGGAATCAATCCCATTTAGAGTTGCACCAAAAACCCTAAGATACCTGGGAATAAACCTAACCAAAGACATAAAAGATCTGTACTCTGAAAACTATAAAACACTGATGAAAGAAATTGAAGATGATGCAAAGAAATGGAAAAACATTCCATACTCATGGATTGGAAGAACAAATATTGTTAAAATGCCTATATTACCCAAAGCAATCTACACATTTAATGCAATCCCTATCAAAATACCAACAGCATTTCTCACAGAACTAGAACACGCAATCCTAAAATTTGTATGGAACCACAAAAGACCCCTAATAGCCAAAGCAATCTTGAAAAAGAAAAGCAAAACCGGAAACATCACAATTCTGGACTTCAAATTATATTACAAAACTGTAATGGTCAAGACAGTATGGTACTGGCACAAAACAGACACATAGATCAATGGAACAGAATAGAAAACCGAGAACTATATGGTCAATTAATCTTCAACAAAGGAGGAAAGAATATGCAATGGGGAAAAAACAATCTCTTCAACAAATGGTATAGGGAAAATTGGACAGCCACGTGCAAAGGAATGAAATTAGACCACTTTCTTACACCATACACAAAAAGTAAAATCAACATGGATTAAAGACCTAAATGTGAGACCTAAAACCATAAAAATCCTAGAAGAGAGCACAGGCAGTAATTTCTCTGACATCGGCCGTAGCGGCATTTTTGTAGATGTTTCCTGAGGCAAGGGAAATAAAAGCAAAAATAAACTATTGGGATTTCATCAAGATAAAAAAACTTCTGCACAGTGAAAGAAACAATCAACAAAACTAAAAGGCAACTTAAGGAATTGGAGAAGATATTTACAAATGACATATCTGATAAAGGGTTAGATTCCAAAATATATAAAGAACTTATAAAACAACACCCAAAGGTGTAATAATCCAGTTTAAAAACAGAAGACATGAATAGACATTTTTCCTAAGAAGACATACAGATGGTGAACAGACACATGAAAAGATGCCTGACATCACTCAACATCAGGGACATAGAAATCAAAATTACAATGAGATACCACCTCATACCAGTCAGAATGGCTAAAATTAACAACACAGGAAAAAACAGGTGTTAGTGAGGATACAGAGAAAGGGGAACCCTCCTACACTGTTGGTGGGAACGCAAGCTGGTGCAACCCCTCTGGAACACAGTATGGGGAGGTTCCTCAGAAAGTTGAAAATAGAGCTACCATATGATCCAGCAATTGCATCACTGGTATTTACCCAAAGGATATAAAAAATACTAATTGGAAGGGATACATGCACCTTGATGTTTATAGCAGCAATGTCCACAATAGCCAAACTATGGAAAGAGCCCAAATGTCCATTGACTGATGCATGGTTAAAGAAAAAGTGGTATATATATATATATATATATATATATACACACACACACACACACACACACACAATGGAATACTACTCAGCCATCAAAAAGACTGAAATCTTGCCATTTGCAATTATGAGGACAGAGCTAGAGAGTATTATGCTAAGTGAAATAAGTCATTCGGAGAAAGACACATACCGTATGATTTCACTCACATGTAGAATTTAAGAAACAAAACTAAAACATAGGGGGAAAAAGAGAAAGGAAAACCAAGAAACAGACTTAACCATAGAGAACAAACTGATGGCTACCAGAGGGGAGGTGGGTGGGGGGGTGGGTTAAATAGGTGATGGGGATTAAGGAGGGCACTTGTGATGAGCACCAGGTGTTTATGTTGAATCACTAAATTCTACACCTGAAAATAATATTACACCCTGTTAACTGAAATTTAAATAAAAACTTGAAAAATTAAAAATAAATAAAAGAAAAATAATACTTTCTGAAATACCATTTATTTTTTCTATTGCTGCATAACAAATTACCAAAAATTTAATGGCTTAAAACAGCATTTGTTAGCTCACAGTTCTATAGGTCAGAAGTGGGGCAGGCTTCAAGGTTAAAATCAAGGTATCAGCTGGACTTGGCTCTTATCTGAAATCGAAGAAATCACTTCCAAGATCATTCTGGTTGTGGCAGAATTCATTTCCATGAGAGGCCACTCTCCCTTTCTTTGTGTGGGCCCCTCCATCTTCAAAACTAGCAACAGTACCTGGAATCCTTCTGGGTTTATTTTTTCCGCTTCTTAAGTTTTTATTTTAATTCCAGTTAGTTAACATACAATGTTATATTAGTTTCAGGTGTACAATATAATGGAATCCTTCTGTTTAGATCTTTCTCTTCTGCCACCAGACAGAAAACTCTGCTTTCAGAGGGCTCATGTGATTAGATTAGGTCCACCAGATAATCTCCCTTTTGATGAACTCAAAGTCAACTGACTTGTACTCTTAATTGCATCTGCAAAACCTCATTTGTCATGTAATGTAACATAATCATAGGTGTACTACTGCATTCATTATATTCATACTCCCTCATATTAGGGCAGGAAATCTTGGTGGAGGGCATGGATTTTAGGATTCTGGCTACCACACTGCTCATAGGCTTCTCTTCACTTACTGCCAGGTGAATCCTAAACGCTCAGCAGCCTTTACAACTATTTTGGAGTCTCTTAATTTTACCAAAGTTTGAATTTTTGTTTTCCATATTTTTGTAGCTTTTGGATTTCCCTGATGAGAAGAGGAAACATAATGCATCCATGTTTATGTTAAAAGTTTCTCTGACCATTTTTTTAATAGTGATTTATCCCTTCATTAGGTTGTTTTTATGACTCCAGGATTTGTTTCTTTGCAATTTTGATTCAGATTATCTAACATCCTGCATAATTCAAGCAGTTGTGTTGGGGTGGGGGCGATTGGTAGTAGGGGACTTAAATCTATTCTTTTTTGTTTTTGCTTATCCTAGCTTATTTCCTTCTGTGTTTACCAGTAGCATCTTGTGAGCTTATGCTTGTTGAATTTAATCTGGGGGAATCCTGAGAGTGTAAATTGGAGATACTTGCTTTGTAGAGGATTTGTATTTTTTTATTTTTAAAGATTTCGTTTATTTATTTGAGAGAGAGAGATAGCGCACGAGAGAGAGAGAGAGAGAGAGAGAGAGAGAGAGAGAGAGAGAGAGAGGACAAGTAGAGGGAGGGGCAGAGGGAGAAGCAGGTGCCCCAAGGACAAGGGCTCCATCCCTGGATCCCTGGGATCATGACCTGAGCCAAAGGCAGATACCCGACCACCCAACCAACTGAGCCACCCATGCACCGCAGTGGATTTGTATGTTCATAGGCTCCTTCAATTGTTGCTTCAGAGACCCCAAGCTTAAAGCAAGTGGCTTGATAATGAGCTTTCAACCTTGCCAGAGGTCCAAAGCTTAGTTATTAGATGGGAGTTCTGATCCTAGTTCTGATCCTTAGCCTCAGGGCATACATATATTTTGAATTTTTTATTTCTCCCTGATTTTGTTTCAGTTCATATGTTTTCTCTTTCTTCCTCCCTTCTTCCCTTTCTTCCTTCCTGTCTCTTATCCTTTCTTACTTCTTTTCTCCCATGCTTAGGTTGTGCTAATAAACGCAAAAAATCAAATGTATGGGACACAGTGGTAGCCCTACTGTACTTGGCATTGGTCAGAGTAAAACATTATGCTCTTTTCTAAGAATCACTTTTTAAGGGGATCATGATCAAAGTGATGCACATCCAGCGGTTCAGCCAAAATAAATATGAAAAAATGTTAGGTTTACTTTGTTTACCTGGGAAAAAAGAAGGCATGTTAACTCTCTTCATATATCTTTTGAAAGGATCTTTCACAAGAGAGAAATAAAGCTTATCTTTTATCTTCCAGAAGCAGAACCAACAAGTGCATCTAGCAAGATGGTTCATGTTAGCTCAACGTAAGATGGAACTTACGATTATCCTTGTACAAACTTGGAATGGACTGCCTTTGTGAATTGTGTGCTCTCTCCTCTGGACTCATGTGGAGGTAGATAGGGAAAGTCTCCTTAGCAGTATTTTAGAGGCCAGGAGTACACTTCTCCTTTGGCTAAGATGCTGTAAAAAATAACCTTCACTCTCCCAGTGAGCTCAGATTCTAGGCTTGTTTATTCTGTGACTTTTATAAATTTAGATAGAAAGTAAGAAATTATAGCCATCTGGAGAATAAAAAAACATTTATGCCACATTCTGAATATAATGGAAGGAAATTTTGTATCACAGTATTGAAGAAACTTTTCCAATTGGTGGATCAGAGTAATCATTAATATTTTTTACTTCCAAAATTGTTCTCCTTATAATGTGCCAAGAAAAAAAGGCAATTAATTTTTACACAAAATATTCCCTCATGCATATCCACACTGGGAGAAAATATGATACATTTTTTAATAATAATAAGGTTCAGTCAGAAATAGAAATTTAGTTCATCTTATAAATAGAATAGACACTGGTAAATGAGAAGAGATGACACAGCATGAGCTATGTAATTACATTTAAAATACATTTCAGGGTAGTTTAATATTAAAACTGCAATTCTTGATAGAAGTGGATACAGGATTTTTGAATATTTTGGAAAGGATATTGAGATCTTGGTATTTTTGTTCTTAGGATTTTATATGAACATAAAATCACATTTGTTTTAAAATCATCTCTTTAGGGAAAACAACACATTTAACCTTTCACTGTGAAATAAAAGCTTATGTCGAAATGTTTTAGAAATTCAGATACCCTTTACATTCTCAGGATTCTAGAGTGACAAGAGAAATCTGAAGAAGAAAGACTCAAGTCCTCTAGTCCTATTAGGGATGGTGAACACCCCACAGGGGGATGGGGTTACTCTGAGAAAGGAAAATCAATCCAGACACAGAGAGGATGAAAGCGAAAGAAAGGCAAAATGTGATCCAGATGTTCTTCGGGACAGAAATGAAATCTGATCTCAAGTGACAGGCAAAGGGATGAGAGACCCAAACTATTTGACTGGATTTTATGAAAGCTTTAGGAGTATGGAATTGTATAATTTCAAGGGAAATTAACAAGGGGGGAATTTTGGAAACGTACTGCTAACCTAACATTACAAACAACTTAATGCCTTAGGTTGAAAAGTCATGACATATCCAGAGAAGACAAAAATTACAGAAGTAAAGGCTAGCTGAGGACATAATCCTGTAGTCCTACTAGAGTCCAGGCTCCTGCAAACAGAAGAATATATATACATATGTAGTATCTGTAGTAGAATAAGAATGAGAACCTTCCTTGGAGTCTAAAGATAAGAATATAAGACTGGCTTTGCCTCTAGATGTGTGATTCAGTTTACTTATCTTGGAAATAGAAATGCCAGTATGCATCCCAAATTATTTTTGTAAGGGCCAAGTAAGAGAGTGTATGAAAAAAATATTTTATAAAGTGATATATGGATAGGATGTCTTATTATTACTATCTACAGGGGGTATCTGTGGTTTTTGCCTTTCAGGCATGCTTTCCCATTATTTTGGGAATTGATCTGTTTTTCCCTTTTATCCAATCCCATACTTTCAGTCTAGATTAGTCAGAAAGGGCAAACCTCCCCGTGGAGGGGAAACCATGACACAGATCAAGATGGGGAGTGTACCACATCAACCCTGGGCCTTGCTGTAGTGATTTTTTCAGAACAATCATGAGTCGGGTCAGGCCAATTGGTGTCCAGGACTTTTGCTGGAGCTAGAGGAAAGAGGAACACTTTATGTTATAAAAGGGTAGGGGAGCAATGTAAATTGGTAAGCATTTGGGGAGAGCTTGCCTGAGAATAAGCTAACCCAAGAAGGAAAGCAAAACCAAGAAATAGTGAGATAGCATCCCAAGACATCATCAACCTCTGGTATTCAGATATGCTTGAAGGCAGAATTGCCCCTGGAATTTCCAGTTACATGAGTCCATAAACTCCTCTTTCTGTCCTAACTTGGATTTGGCTTTCTGTCATTGGTCATCAAAACTGTACTATCTAAGTCACTATAATTAGGGAAACTTTAACTAGAAATTATTAGTGTTACTTGGAAAATCTCCACACCTAATGTATACCAAAGCTATTACAGTTGCCCCTTCAACAATGGAGGGGTTGGGATTAGACTTCCTTGATTGGTTCTGTCATGGGTCCTGTGAAGTCATGCACAACATCTGGACAGTTCTCTCCCCAGGAATTTATTGTTTCAGGGTTCATGGCTTTCATGGCTTTTTCTTATAACAATAATGGCATCTTCAATGGTGTAATCTTCCCAGACTTTCTTGATGTTCTCTGTATTGGGGTTCTCTTTCATAGCATTGACAGTCATTCCCATAGAGTATTGCGTGTACTGAGTCTTAAAGGTCCTTAGGACACCCTGATCTACGGTGCTTAGAGATGTTGCATTTGGGGGCAAGTAGACCACTTGGTTGCCATCAGTGTTGAACTCATGGGAATCTGGGTGGCCAGGAGCATCATCCAGTATCAAGAGAATGTATTTCCTGACTTCAGGGACAAAGCATCACAATAGAACCAGGCCAGAAAAAAAGGGTTCTTGTTGTCCAGGCCTTCTTGTTGTACATCCAAAAGACTGGAAGCTGGTATTTAATCTTTTTCTCTTCAAGGCTCAGGGGTTAACAGCCTTACAGATAAGGGCAGTCCTCATCATAAACCAGACTGCATTTGCACAAAGGAGTAGAGTTAGCCTGTCCTTTCTGCCTTAAATCTTGGTGCTAGCTTTTCTTCCTTACTAATAGATTTTTTTTAAAAAAAGATTTTATTTATTTGAGAGAGAGAGCACAAGAGGAGGGGAGGGGAGGGGCAGAGGAAGAGACAGAAGCAGGCTCCCTGCTGAGCAGGGAGCCCACCACGGGCAGGGGGGCGGGGTTTGGACACAGAAATCGATCCCGGGACCCATGGATCATGACCTGAGCTGAGGGCAGATGCAGATGCTTAACCGACTTAGCCACCCAGGCGCCACCCCCCTTACTAATACATTCTTATGGCAATTTTCCCCTCAGAATAGGGCACTTTCTTCTGTATTAACAATGTGTTCAGACAGATATCCTTTCTCCTCGATGATTTTCTTAATGGCATCTCGGAATTTGTCTGCTGCCTCTTGGTTGGCAGAAGCTGCCTCTCCTGGTATATTGACATTTTTTTTTAAAGCCAAACCTTTTTTTTTTTTTTAAGATTTTATTTTTTAAGTAATCTCTACACCCAATGTGGGGCTTGAACTTGCAACCCTGAAACCAAGAGTTGCATCTTCCACCAACTGAGCCAGCCAGGCACCCCTAAAACCAATCCTTTTAAAAATTATCAAACCATCCTTTGCTGGCATTAAATTCTCCAGCTTTAGATCCTTCACCTTCCTTTTGCCCTAGTTGTCATATCATGACTTTGCTTTTTCATGAATTATATTAGAGTCCATAGGGATGGCTTTCTTAAAGCAGTCCCGTACCCACATACAAGCTGCATTTTCAATATGATATAAAAAGGTATTTCATAGAAAGTGCGGGGTTTTCATGCCTGCTGGCAAAGCTGTAGCAGCAACTTCACAAAGTTCCCCCCCCACTTTTTTTTTAAACAATTGTCCTTATGCTGGACTCCTTTATCTTGAAATGGCAGACAACCACAGCTGCAAACCTCAATCTATGGTACATATCAAGCAAATCATTTTTTTCTTGTAATGTCATGACTTGGGATTTTTGGGAGCACTTCCAGCATCACTAGTGGCACTTCCTCTGGGTCCCATGGTGTTAGTCAAGGTTTATAATGTTGCACTAAACATGATGAAAACTATGTGAGAACGACAAGAGATAGTTTTTTACTGTGATACGCAATTTGCTGGAGAGCCATACTGCTTAAGTGGAGGTGATTAGCGTCATAGGCGTTTCAAGAGGATGCTCCCAACACTTGAGCTCACTGCAGTAGCAACAGGAGGTGGCTACCAAATTATTACCATAGTACAGTATGTACTACAGTTAATTTTCTACAGTTATGACTTAATACAGCATCTTTACATTTGTTTACATTTCTCTTGACTGCAAATGGCTCCATGTATGGTCTGTAAGTGTGTGCAGAAGCTTTGATAAATTTTAACTTTTCTTTAACAGATTTGTGTATATTTTATAGCAGTAAACGATAAAATAAACTATTACATATATATTTTAAGCATTCACGACATACCTACTGTTTTCTTAATTTTTTGATATTTCTAGTTTACACAGTTTGTGAGTTTTTTCAAATTCTCACAAATTTCTGAAAACTTTTCCAATATATTAATTGAAAAAATTTCTCACATACGTGGACATGTGCAGTTCAAACCTGAGTTGTTTAAGGGTTAATTGTACTAATTGGTCACAGAATGGGTGCTAAAAATGTAAATGATTGTTTGGTCTTGAAAATCTTTAAGTCTGCTTCCTTTATTATTATTTTTTAATGTTATCATACTTGCTTTTAGTCTCGCCCTGGCCCTTTAGAAAATGATCCTTCTCCTGAAATAGCCTGAAGGCCTCTGTAGTTTAAAGCAACCTAACATGATGCTGTAAACAGAGATTTAATGAACAGAGGAAACAGCACCACAAGTCTGACATATGCCCCCTGAACACAAGAAACTCAGAATCGTGCAATACTCAAAAAGTCCTTCAAGATTCTGGAAATTCTCCAGCTTCTTCCCTGAGTTCCTGACCTCTACCCCAGACTGGCGACTTGGCATCCTCAGCTGTGTGTTTGGTGTACTCAACAACCAGAAACCTCCTGCACATACCTGATCCTCTGGGGGAAGCCTTTCAGTGGGTTTCTTACCAGCTTGCTCACCATGCAGCTGGGGGTGGGTCTTGTGGGGACATGAGAAAATGTCTGCCACCACCAGGAGCAAAAGGAGCCCAAATCCAGTTTCTTTTCTCTGAGCTTCTTCCCTGGGAGAGGATGTTCCTTTATGCAGATTAAAGAGCACAAAAAACAAAGAAAGCCACAGTACTGAACTTAATTTCCAGTACCACTCCTTTCCTAAAAATGGTTAACTGGTAGCTACATGGTCTCATTCTTGTTGCTAATAAACAGTAAAGGTGCCAAGAAACTGAAGCAGCACAGGGGAGAAAAGGAAGAAACCGAGGGTTTAGATCATTTGTGAAAATGGATATTTAGTCTTTGAATAATTAAAGATATCCAATCTGTAGAATGTTAAAGAAATCCCTAACCTACATTTATGTTAGAACATATCATTACTAGTCCAGGACATTAAAATTTTATCATAATAGTTATGGACAGTTCTGCCAAAGAATCTCACTCATTGGCTATCAAAATAAGGGAAATGCTGAATTATAGAATACCATACTTTGAATATTTAATAAATTAATCCTCTGTGCTGATAGTAGGAGTTCTAGAAATCATGCCTGTTGTATGACAGCACTTAGTCAATATACTAATTAATAACAGTTGTTTGAGAGCAAGTCAATGCCTAATAGGTTAACAACACAGATTGGAAGTACAGAGAAATCATACCCAAGGTTAAATTCATTCTAAAAAAGACCATTGGTAGTTATGAATACTTAAAGCAAAAGGAAGAAGATTGGAGCTTTTGTCAGAGTTGACTCTTTTGAGAGTTCCTGGGTCATTAAACAGGAGCTTACTCATATAAATTTTGGCCCTGGTATCTGGATCTTTCGTATTTTTCACATAACTAAATTGTACCAGATTCTCTTGGGTGCTCAACAACAGATTCTGACTCTGAAATCCATACCATTTCTCAAAGGGGGAAGAAGAGGAGGAGGAAATAGGTAGAGATGGAAAGGAGGAGAGAAAGAAGGGGAGGGAAGAAGAGAAGGAGTAGAGCATGGAAAAGAAAGGGGTAAAGGGAGGAAATGTGGGAAAAGGAAAAGAAGAAGGGGGAGGGAGGAGGAAAAGATGGTAGTGGGACCACGGAGGGATTGAGGAAGACCAGAAATCTCATTCATTTTGACGTAGGAGGTGAGCTCCCTATTTCTAGAGAATTAAAAAAAAAACTATGTAATCAATCCTTGATTAGGACATAAATACTTAATTTTAAACTTCTAAGTATTATATAACTTAAAAGAAGTTTTTTGTAGATTTAAATGATTCAACATGGAGATGGTACAAGTTAATTTTCTTACGGACTTAGATTTTTGTTTTCTCAACATAATTGTGTGACATTTGGTAGAAGAAAGTTTAATGCCGGGGAGAACATGCTGATAGTGACTTTGGAAGCTTCTGGGCAGGTGCTTTCCTGGAATCGAGCAGATGATTGTTAAGACAGGAAGAGGAAGGAGATGCTGAAGAGGTTTGCCCCTGTGACCATTTACATCTGGCTGGTTTACATCTGTTTTAGGTTTGCTGTTCTGGTCAGGTCTTCTTGGCAACTTATTAAATAATCTGATAAAACTGATAAATATATTAGAGTAGGCTAATGATGGGGATTCCCACTTCCTGAGTTAGTCTGCCTGCACTTTCCTACAGAAAAGTCCTGTTTCAGCCACCTGAACTATAATTTTCTTGCCCCAAGGATATTATGGTGAAAAGATATTAATCTAAGTAGAAGGCATTGCTTTAATCCCTACACTTCATTGGTTTGATGACGTTTGAGGAAAACAGGAATAACTCAAGTGTGTTGAGGATCAGTGATTTCACATTTAAAAAGCATAAAGCTTATTAATGGTCTTGAAGAGAAAAGATTCCATATGAATACAAAACCATCATTATCATTGGTAACATATCCAAATATCTTGCCAACATTTTTCTGATTCAGGCTGTTAAATTTCATATTAAAATATAATAAAAAGATATTCATTTAAAAAACCCTTGTAAACAGACAAAGCTTGAAAAACAGAAAGTATACTTAGGAAACTCCACACAAACAAGCACATTTTAGGGTACTTTTCCCAAGTGATAAGGACAGAGTTAGGATGTAACAAGAGCAGGAGTAGCTGAAATTTAATTGAGGGCTAAGCATCCATTAGGCACTGTTCCACCTGCTTTCAATATATTATCTTACGTAATTCTCACAAAACCCTTCTGTTCTCTTCCTATTTCATCGATAAGGAATCAGCAAAGCAAAAATTCCACAGAATGTACTGGTGTATACAAAGAGAACGGAAAGAATCTGAGAGTCTATCTTATATATCCCAAAACAAGGATGTTGAAAAGTGTTTAGTAGACACAGAAGACAATAAAGCTGGTAAAGTTGGTATAAAGGGGAAAGAGTAGAACAAAAAAAGCATATTCATTAGACCAAACTAGGTTGTCAACTTGATTTAAGGAACTCTAAAATTATAAGCTACAATTGTTTTGTTTTCTTAACTTATTGCTACTTGGTGTGCTGAAATGCTTTTAAATCTCTGTAGTACCTGTCCATGTACCTCAGAAAGGGCTTGGCTCTGGGCAGCCTCTGTCTCTTGAGTCAAACTGGCTGCAGAAATCTGACATCTTGGTCACAAATATATTACGTTGCCATCACTTTAAGCATAAGCAAAGTAAATACACTTTAAGCATAAGTAAAATAAAATTTTAAAAAACAGATGATAGTAATAATGGTAATATTTTTGGAGTAACAGCAGTATGTTTTGCTTTGATTGGGCAGAATTGACCTTAACATGGGTCTTATTTAGCCTTTTAAAGTAAATTTCTGTTTTTCTTTTTCATTTCTTCAAGAAGAAAAGGGCTAAAATAGGCTCAGTACTCTACTAGCACTTCGCTGGTGACAGTGGACTATTTAATTGGTTTTAAATAACATGGCTTAACTGTGGCTGTCAGTAAAATAGGGGCCTTAGCATACCACAGGCACCCACACTGGGTATCACAGGCCACAGAGAAGCACTCAGTAGTTGTGTGTAATCAAATTTGTGAAAACTGATCTGGAAGAGCACTTCATTATTTACAGGAGGGCTGTAATAAATCTTTCGCAAACTATAGAATCCATTTGTAATGTGAAATATCTCTTAATTTGTGTTTTTAAGTTTGAATTTTTGTGTACATATGGTCTTCATAAAGTAGGACACCTCTGGAATATATGGAAGCCCAGGTAAATCTAAAGTACTCAAATGTAATATTCATTCATTTGTTCACTCATACTCTGAAATGATGCCATGTACTAAGCATCATGCCAGGCCAGAGGGATGGCCATGATGAAGTCCACTAATGCCTTTATGGTGCTCAACTCAGTTAGGGAGGAGAATTCTGATGCCTTAAATATTCCTCTCTTGGAAAGCCAAAGATGAAATAAGTACCTTCCTCCTACAAAACAGCTATCCAATCATTTCTTGAAAGCAATGCCATAGGTAATCTTTTTGAAATCTCCTTGTCATATATTAAACAACAGAATAATGTGATGAATTTGTGTTGTCATAAAATATCAAGTGTGAAAATGAGAACTGCCAGGTCTCAGGGAGCTGAATGCCCTGGAGCCCTACGCTGTAGCTAGAGGTTGGGTCTTTCAGCGTTTCAGCCTGAAGGGACCTCAGATTCTTGTGTTCACCCTGCCCCTTCCTCAGTCCCATCCCCTACTTTGTTTTTTCAGAGGAAGAAACTCGTGCTCACAAAGGTTGAGAAAGTAGCTGAAACCGGAATCAGTCAGGGCTTTTTCATCCCCAGACTTTTTAGCTGATTTGCTAAATGATTCTGCTCCTCCTTCTCAGAAAATCTACATTAATGACATATTTTAGGGCTTGAGGGGTGTTCTCTTGCTCCCTTTTGGTTAAACTTACATGCTTGTAAGTAGAAGGTGTGGTGGCAACAGACGATGGATGGTAAAAAGAACTTCTGCAAGGACAGCCAGAGCAGAGCTGCTCTGGGCTCATGTCTCCTTAGCCCTTACCTGACCCTCCAGTCCGCCTTAACTCCGCCGGCCACTCTCAGGATTAGGCTGGTGGTAGGGTGAAACTACAGATCCCAGGAGGCCTAGGACGTCCCTCTCAACCTCTCCGTAAGCAGGTCGCTCCCCTCGTTGCATTCTGGGAAATGTAGTTTCTTTCAATCAGTAACTACTGTGCTTGGAAAGCAAGAGTTATTAGGTTTGAGGGCTCCGCCCCTCCACTGGCCCCGCCCTCTCCATTGACCCCGCCCCAGGTTGCTCAGGAGATCAGAGACGCCGAATCCTGGTCGATGTTGGCGTGGGGAGCAGAATAGGTGCAGAAAGAAATCCTCCGAGTTCTGAATGTGGCCCGCCTCAATGGAGAGTTCTGGCAGCTCCTGCCAGGACTACTGGTGCAGCAGTAAGCAATACTGGTTTGAGCTCGGACCCACGGACTTGCTGCAGCGCAAGGGCTCCCTCACCCTCCGCTCCCATCACAAGAAGTACTCGAAACCCGTGTTGGTGTATTCTTGGTGAGCGAGCTCGCTGCAGTTCCCGGCTGCTGGGGGAAGGGATGGGGGAGGAGAGACAGTAATAGAGAGGGGGCAAGGGTGGAGAGGATGGAATAAACAGCGAAGAGAAAGAAAAAAGAGGAAGGGAAGGGCAGAGAAAGGGAAAAGGAAGAGGTGAGAAAGAGATGAGACAAGTGAGAGGACTGGGAGAGGAGACAAGGGAGAAAAAAGAAAGGGAAGAAAGATCTTCGAAGGAGAGGTGAAGAGGGGGAGTGAGAGTTGGGGCAGCAGGAAGAGACAGGAAAGCCTCCGAGAGCCCTGCCCTGCCACTGAGTCCTGCCCTGCAGGTGCCTGTCCACCAGAGGTCATAGATCACCCTCAGCGACGGTGGAGGAGAGGGTGTTTGCAGGGGCCTGGAAATCACATTTCTGAGATAACATCGCTCACTCATGAAAGGAAGGGTGCATTAGGGGACAGCAGGGGGAGATGAGCTGACTTGTCTAAGCCCTCCTTGATCCCATTTATTCATGTAATGTATGTGAACCCTGCAGTTTCTGCCTTGCAAACTTTCTGCAGTCTACCCACTTTCCTACAAGCCCACTCCCCCTACTTTTACTTCTCATCCCTAAAACTGACTCTGCCTATTTTGAACTGAGTGTGAGAGGCTAGATAGATTTGGAATCCAAAGCTCTATGCAGAAAATCCTCTTTTAGCCTCATATAAGGGTTACCTCATAGACCTCAAGCAAAACACTTAGCTCTTCCATGGTTTTGTTACTCTATAAAGATGTAGGTCATAATATAAATCACTATTAGAAATTAGTGTTAAAGACAAAGAACTTTTTCAAGTGGACAGTGTTTCTGCCCTACCATGACTTGTGGACATCGTAGACAAAAATAGCAAAACCACAGAAGAACATACATGAAAAGGAGATGAGGAATTTGGTGGGAGAGAAATGTGGTCTAACACGGAAAGTCATTCTGGTCACTGCTGAGAATGTACAGAGTTCTTATGCTGTTAGTTTTAGAAAGAACGTTTGGGGACAGGAGGAAATTCAACAAGCATTCATGTGTCATGCACTTTGCTATGTGTTGGAGACACAGAGAGAGATAAAGTGGATTCAGTGAGTTAATTTGTCTAAAGCATTTAACACCATGCCTGTATGTAGTAAGCAGTCAGAAACATATGGTAGCTAATACTAATTTTTTAGGATAATGATTACACACTTGGACTCTAGGTTTGAATATCAACTCTGCAGCATGTGATATGGCAAGTCACATGAATGCTCTAGGCCTCTGTTTCTACAACTGTAAATTGGGGACGATAGTATTGTTTTGAAGCACATTTTAACATGTAGCCTGGCACATAGTAAGCACAGTAAAGGTTATATACGTGTATTAGGACATGGTCATGGACCTCAAGGAATTTCATACACCTGTAAAGGAGAATACCATTAAATTCAGTATAATCTGATTTGTGCAAAATAGTGATGAGTATAAGAGGTAAAGGTAACAGGAAGAGGTTTGTGTGTGTGTAGTTTCCTGAGCAGGGTTTAGAAGGAAGAATAGGAGCTCCATAGATACACAAAAGAGAACACTGCACTCACAGGCAAGTACAATGGAATAGTAAGAAGCAACCTTGTAGGGAAATAAAAATAGTTCTCTGTAGTCCGCAAGTACAGTTGATCCTCATTATTTGCAGATTCTGTATTTGTAAATTTGCCTACTTGCGAAAATGTATTTATAACCTCAAATCAATACTCAAGGCAGTTTTATGGTCATTTATGGCATGTGCAGAGAGGCAAAATTTTTTAGTCACTCTCCTGTTTTTAGATCAAAGTGACACTCTGCCTTCTTGTTTCAGCTCTCATACTGTAAACAAGTATTTTTTTTCGTGATCTATTTAGCATCTTTGTGCTTTTTGTTGTTGATTTCATTGTTGATATAGCCACCATACTGCTGGAGTGCTATCTGGTGTTATGTGCAAGAAGGCTGTGATGTGCCTTGTGGAGAAAATATATGTCGCACAGCCTTCATTCAGTCACGAGTTACAGTGCTGTGAGTTCAGTGTGAATGAATCAGCAGAAGATATCAAATAACGTATATTTAAACAGAAACATACATAAAACCAGGTTATAGATTGATTGGTTGATGAAAATGTGAGCAGAGGCTCATAGGAACGTACTCCTTTATTTCCCCTAGGAGCAGTGGTTCGGTATTTGCTAATTATTTGTAACAACTTTATAGAATATAACAACCTAAATAATGAGAACTTATCATAAAATGTGAGAAATACTTGATTTCTTTGAGCTGGCTGTGCTGTTGTCATCCTTGCTTCCCTTCCATGTCTAAGCAGTCACCAAAATCTGTCTTAAAAAAAAACCCAACTATATAAAGTTCAAATTATATAAACTTCCAAATGAATAATCTGATCAGCTATTTTGTTTTTATACATTCTGGTCATAATTGTTTGTTTTCTATTGGCCTATTATATATTGAAACTCTTATTAAATTTTAATCTTTTATGAGTGATTTTTATTTAATTGATGAATACTTACTATCTATGATACAGCATTCAAGTGGCCTCTCAACTGAGTATTTGATCAGTTAAATGACTGTACCTCTAGGTTTGCAAATTAGAATCTGTAGCTGGGAAAGATTCTTATTTACCTCTGCTTATACAGTTTAAACATTTCCATGATTTCTGTATTTCTCTTTATGTTGCATGTAATACAAGTCTGTCTGACTTCACTTCACATATTAAAAACATTTGTATATAATAGACCTGATAAAGTGATATGCACAGAATGGTTGTTAAAAGTATCTCTGGTGCATTACTGGAATAAGACACTGCCTAGGCACTGTCTCTTCCTTACAGCTGGAATGATCGACAGGGCCATTTCACCCGCATCACACTGACGCTTCTGAATGAGAGAGGCCTTTTCTAGAAATTGTTTTTTTCTATTCATTCCTGTAGCATTTGTGGAGTTGTATCATTAGATGATTCCATGAGAAATTCTGAGTTGGGGGACATTTTCTCTTGGGGTATCTTCCCATTCATTGGAATAATGGAATTCTAAGAACCAGAACAACTAGATTTGCCCTTAATAAATGCTCTGATGTGAGGCTACTTCTTATATTTTTATATGTGTATTTTAACTCATCTCTTCATTGCCCAAATCGACATCAGGTAATAAGTGATGATAATTTAAAGCCCAAAAATTCATTCGAGTCTCCATGGAGACAGTTCATGCTCTGGTCTCCATGGTGACACCTGGAGTTTTAAGAGATCAGGTTAATTTTATGTATATTTCAATTACTTTTCTCCCCTGTCTAAGCCCTAATTAAAGAGCCTGGGCATTTTACTCTTCCCTTCTCCCCCCCCCCCACCTCCCTATAGTAAGAAGAAAACAGAAAGAAAGGGAAAAAAAGGAAGAAAAATAAAATGCAGTGTTAATTGTGGGGTAGGGAAGTTCATAGTTTTACAGATTTCTACAGAAAAATCATTTGGGTTGGGGAAAGAAAGAGCTTTCTGTGATGCTCTTCAGACTTACACTCTATTGTGCTGTCTGAACAGGGAGTTCATGTCTATTTAAGGTACTGCACAGAGGAGAACCCGCTTTCAAGGCCACAAGTTACCATTAGTGTACTTGCAAAGAAAATAGAGATGCATTTTCTAATTTGCTGTATCATTCTTCCTGTATTTATTCAGCAACTTTCTCAGGACTAACCTGGCAGTATTTGGAGTCCTTCACATGATTCGGGGCCACGGCAGGGTGACCCAGCCCTTCTCTAGCCAGCATCCTTCTCCTCACATCTGCAGTACGCACTCACAAAATGGGATGAAAAGGCAAATCCGAAAGCCTTTAGTAACCACATGGTGCAGCCTGCCTCTGTTTTGAAATCCCTAAATGCTTCCCCTTCCACCAAGCCTCCATCCTCCTACCTTTAACAGCTCAGGTCCTCAACCAAATGCTTATTAACTCCTATTTTATGTACATTTTAAATACATTTGCTTATGTGGTTTCCATGCACACAGCATAGAATTCGGAGAGAAGAGAGAAGAGCCTTTAAAGAGGCTTTTTTGGTCAATAATGAGAAGTGAAAAGAGCAAGCCCCAGGGCAAAGGTAAGAACACAGTGGGTGCTCAATTAACATTCATCAAAGAAATGAACAAATGAGCAGATAGAATGAACACACACAGAAACCCAAAAGGCACTGGGTTGGGACCCTCTATTTTATAGTTTAGAAAGCCCCAGAGGTAAAAGTCTATAGGACAGCATAAATTCATAATAAAACAAGAATCGATTTCTCATAGCCTGATCCTTCTATAACAGGACGACATTGAAGCCTGTTTGCTCACCTCTGTATAAGTGAACTTAGAGTATAATGTGCTCTTCTTCTGATTTGAATGGTGAAGAATTTAAAATTGGGAGCTAAACTTGTGCTCTTCCTACTTGCAGTGCATAACTTATCAGGGACTGACAGATACTAAGAAGATTTTGAGTTTATATAGGGACAAATGAGTTTATACTTTAAAGAGATATTTTGATTTCTTGACTCGTGCTTAAAAAAACAATTCTAAATTATAATATGTGACCATTTGAGATGATGTAATAGTAGACCAATGACATGCAAATACATTCACTATCGAGTGGGTC